CTGGAGCCGCGCGTCAAGGGGGGGGTACTGTCACGGTTTCGGCCGAGGCTGCTCCTTCTCCTTGTTCGGGCAGGCTTCGGCGGTCGTCGTCTCCGGAGTACTAGCTGCCACCGTTCTATGTTTTGATGTTTGATTGGTTTTGTCTGTTTTGTTACACCTGTTCCTTGTTAGTGTTCATTATGCGTCCTGTAAGTTCTCTTGAGTTTTGTCATGTGTTGTGTGTAATTGTTCGTTGTCACTGTGGGATGCTAGTTCGTTTTTGTCTCTCTGTTCGGTGTAGTAGAGAGCTCCGCACTTTTGTGCCTTTGTATGTACTTTACCGGTGTGCGTAAAGTTCGCTTGCCTGCCAGGTTGTATGTAGCCGTGTTTGGCTTGTTCTTTTTGTCTTCACTAAAGACGTCAGTACGAAGCCTCTGTGTGTCCTGCGCTTGATTCCACACCACTTCTACACTCAACTGTGACAGTGGGTGAGGATTGTGTGAAATGATCTCAGTTCCTCCTGTATCATTACTCTGAACGAGTTGTGACAAACATCTGTTCTCTTGTATTCAAATCAGAAAAGAAAAATATGCATCCCTTTTCTGCATGCATGTGTGTTTGTGTGTGTTTACAGTAGGGTCCGAAATGATTGACACCCTTTATAAAGATGAGCAATGACAGTTTAAAATAAATATCAATCAATTGACTGAGTACAACAAACAAATTCACAAAGTCACTTGTTCACTGCACCAAAACACTCTTTTAATTTGGATAAATATTAAATCTATCTATTTGGAATTATAGTGTAGTGTACAATGCACTGCTGAAATACCTGGGTTGTATTTCACAATATATTTCACTCGTTATCTGAATTTCATTGATACACTGTAAGCTGATTAATTTCAAGCAGAGAGACAGGCGATAGCGAAGGTGATCTTGTACAATGTTGCATGGGGCATTAATGGCATACAACACCGTGCTACGTGTTTACAGTAGCCAACTGCTTTACAATACCCCTATTTCTGATGATTTGTCCTACGTATGTACTGTATAAGGATAATGAAACTGTAAGACTGACATATTTCTCAACATGCTCACAACCTGCCATTGGATACAAATTGTGCAAGTTATAGTCAAATACTTTTATTATAAATAAGAATATATTATGTTTCTAAACACTTCTACATTATTGTGGATGCTACCATGATTATGGATAATCCTGAATGAATCGTGAATAATGATGAGTAAGAACGTTACAGAGGGTCAAAGATCATAGCCCCAAGACCTGCTTACCTCCCATGTTATTGGTAATAGTGAGAGGTTGGCATGTCTTGGGGATATAATATGTTCTTTCACCCTCTGTAACTTTCTCATTCATCATTATTCACGATTCATTCAGTATTATCCGTAATCATGGTAGCATCCACATTAATGTAGAATTGTTTAGAAACATAATCTATTCTTATTTATAATAAAACGGACTCCAAAATGACACAATACATTATTTACCATTAATTTCTACTGGGCACAAAATAATCTGAAACACAACCAAAACGAACTGCAAATGCATCCAACAAATGTGTAGAATCACAAGCTTGATGTAATCATTGCGTGTTTAAGAATATGGGCCCAAATACTAAACTTTTGACTACTTTATTTATACAAATCTTTAGTGGTGTCAATAATTTTTTAACCCTACCTTTTTGTGAAAATAAAATATTACTTGTTAAACTAAATCTCTTTCTCTGAGCAATTGTGTTAGTAAAAAATAATATCATTTCACCAATATTTTTGAGCATACAATATAGCTCAATATTTGTATTATTTATTTCATACAGTCATTATTTCTCATGTTTATCAAGGGTGTCGATAATATCGGACCCCACTGTATGTGGCGCGCATGTATGCATGCTTGTGCCTGTGTACTTGCGTGCCTGAGGGCATTCAAGGCTTTGGGCAGGTACAGTGTGATTCATATCATTTGTGTAAAGGTTAAGGTGCAGTACAATGATACTTACTTGATGTTAGTTGCCTGGAGTACAAAAACTGACAGACCTAGGTTCCTTTGTAATTGCAGGTTCAAACTCTTTGTCCCGCTAGGTACAGTGAGGGAAAAAAGTATTTGATCCCCTGCTAATTTTATACGTTTGCCCACTGACAAAGAAATTATCAGTCTATAATTTTAATGGTAGGTTTATTTGAACAGTGAGAGACAGAATAACAACAAAAAAATCCAGAAAAATGCATGTAAAAAATGTTAGAAATTGATTTGCATTTTAATTAGGGAAATAAGTATTTGACCCCCTCTCAATCAGAAAGATTTCTGGCTCCCAGGTGTCTTTTATACAGGTAATGAGCTGAGATTAGGAGCACACTCTTAAAGGGAGTGCTCATAATCTCAGCTTGTTACCTGTATAAAAGACACCTGTCCACAGAAGCAATCAATCAATCAGATTCCAAACTCTCCACCATGGCCAAGACCAAAGAGCTCTCCAAGGATGTCAGGGACAAGATTGTAGACCTACACAAGGCTGGAATGGACTACAAGACCATCGCCAAGCAGCTCTATGCAGACGACAAACCTCCAAACGAGCTTCAATGCCATACAACACTCCTTCCGTGGCCTCCAACTGCTCTTAAACGCTAGTAAAACTAAATGCATGCTCTTCAATCGAATACTGCTTCTACCCGCCTGCCCAACTAGAATCACTACTCTCGGCGGGTCTGACTTAGAATATGTGGACAACTACAAATACCTAGGTGTCTGGTTAGACCGTAAACTCTCCTTCTAGACTCACATTAAGCATCTCCAATTCAAAGTTAAATCTAGAATCGGTTTCCTATTTCGCAACAAAGCCTCCTTCACTCATGCTGCTAAACATGCCCTCGTAAAACTGACTATCCTACCGATCCTTGACTTTGGCGATGTCATTTACAAAATAGCTTCCAACACTCTACTCAGTAAATTGGATTTGGTCTATCACAGTGCCATCCGTTTTGTCACCAAAGCCCCATATACTACCCACCATTGTGACCTGTACGCTCTCGTTGGCTGGCCCTCACTACATATTCGTCGCCAAACACACTGGCTCCAGGTAATCTATAAACCACTTCTAGGCAAATCCCTGCCTTATCTTAGCTCATTGGTCACCATAGCAACACCCACCCGTAGTATGCGTTCCAGCAGGTATATCTCACTGGTCATCCCCAAAGCCAACACCTCCTTTGGTCGCCATTCCTTCCAGTTCTCAGCTGCAAATGACTGGAACGAACTGCAAAAATCTCTGAAGCTGGAGACACTTATCTCCCTCACTATCTTTAAGCATCAGTTGTCAGAGCAGCTTACCAATCACTGCACCTGTACACAGCCCATCTGTAATTAGCCCACCCAACTACCTCATCCCCATATTGTTATTTACATTGTTATTTATTTTGCACCCCAGTATCTCTATTTGCATATCATCTTCTGCACATCTATCACTCCAGTGTTAATACTAAATTATAATTGTAATTATTTTGCACTATGGCCTATTTATTGCGTTACCTCCATAACTTACTACATTTGCACACACTGTATATAGATTTCTATTGCGTTATTGACTGTATGTTTTGTTTATTCCATATGTAACTCTGTGTTGTTGTTGTTTTTACCACACTGCTTTGCTTTATCTTGGCCAGGTCGCAGTTGTAAATGAGAACTTGTTCTCAACTGGCTTACCTGGTTAAGTAAAGGTGAAAAAAAAAAAATATATATATATATAAATGTTCGTCTTAAAGAAATTTGAGATAATGTCTAAATGCTCTTTATAGTGGAGATCAAGTTTATAAATTGCCTGGCTGGGCTGATGAGAAAGTGGATTGCGCAGTCAGATGGAACAGAGTAAATAGGCATTTTAACATCATATATTTAGCCGGTGGTAACTTGTGGAATAGACACTGGCTGGAATGCGGTTTTAACCAATCAGCATTCAGGATTAGACCCACCTGTTGTGTAATGGTTAATAATCCAGGGTGGTGCCTAGATTGAGCAATGGTAAAATAGCCTCTTAATCTGTTTGTTATATAGGGACTAGAATAAATGAAGAGCACAGGGCATGATTCCATCAGGAACTGGTTATTGGTTTGATCAAAGACTGTGTTCAATGTCTTTGTCTTGTCTGTCATCAAACAATAATATAAATAAGTTAATTGGGAGGGGCAAAATCAAGGACATCCACTAAGCATCATTAACCTTCTCAGAACATCTTATTATTGTCTCACACTTGTGTTTCAGCTGTGGAATCAGCAGCCATGTCTCTGGTCTATCGGCATCACTCACAAGCACAGCAACACAGTGGAAGAGCAGGTCTCTCCCTGGGTGTCACCAAAATGCAAAATACTTCAGGTAATTACAGGGAGGAGAGAGGGTGTCTCCTAGATACAGTTTAAGATCCAGCTTAACTATATAAGTGCTTTCTCGGTCTCAACATATAGAGACAAGGAAGTAAATAAGACAGACCGCAACCACTACATAATATACAGGTGAGTGCCCGGATAATACAGTTAGAAATGAATGCATGTATTATTTAGGGGACATATTGCTATGGTCAACATCCAATAATGAAATGAATGATTTTTTTAAAATTAAGTTTATAATGGAATTATACACAGGATTTAAACATTCTGATTCTTTCTTTTTCGGTGTTCTTCAGCGGAATGAGTCTTACCATACCTACTTTTGTCTTTCGGCTCTTAACATATCAAAAGCAATATGGCAGGTCAGTATTTGCCTCGTTCTACTCTGGTCTATATTCAAGAAAGATGTCCATGGTGACTGTGAGTTCCAAAATTCTGAAAAAATAAATCCAAAATATTGCTGTGAATAAATAAATGTAAATATATTAATTCAAAATATGTCCCTGTATTTAGCTAACTATCCTTAAAAAAAAGAGAAAAGGTGGCATCTAAATTGGCATATTTGATTTTATTCAGGTGCAAGCTTTGAGCAGGAGTTTCTGGATACCCACAATGCCAACAGGAGAATGCATGACACCCCCAAACTGACCCTGAGCAGAGACCTGTGCAACTCTGCTCAGAAATGGGCTGACCACTTGGTAGCAATCAATACCATGCAGCACAGCGACACCAACAATGGAGAGAACCTCTACTACACATGGGGCTCTGCCCCCAATACTCTAACTGGTGGGTTACAAAAATGCACTTTGACACTGTCAAGTTGTGTTTTAGAATTTGACGGCTCATGGGTCTTTGATACTGGTACTCTCGCTGTAGATGTGCTTGCTTTATATTTGTACTTAAACTAATACGCATTCAGATTACAGTGTGTATTTGCCATGTCAAGTAGGAGTGGTCCTTACATTTGTGCCTGACTGCTTGATTTAGGGAAGGAGGCTGTCGACAACTGGTACAGCGAGATCAAAGACTACAACTTCAGCGAACCTGGATTCGCCTCAAACACTGGTTCACTGCTATTACACATCTTTCTGGGAAATGTGTGGTTTGAGATCACGTGTTCAGAATGCAAATTATGTTCCACTTAAACATAAAGCTTTCAACCATATTGGATTTAACAAAGCCTAGATACAGAGAGGCCTCTTTAAGCGTAACCTAATGTATGGTGGTACTTCTCCAATAGCCCATTTCACCCAGGTGGTGTGGAAGGAGAGTACTGAGGTGGGGGTGGGCCTGGGGATTAATGGAGAGACTGTCTTCGTGGTGGGCCAGTACAAGCCAGCAGGAAACATGAACATGGAGGGATACTTTATGGATAACGTCCTCCCTGCAGGTAACTGAATGTTCTATTCAAAATCAAAGATCTACTCCTGAATTGATAACCATGCCAGTCATGTTCTGTTACAGTAACTGTAGTGTCATGGAGAACAGCGTTGGTTTACATGCTGCGCTTGCAAGTTGTCCCAGTTTACAAACCCCTCATGTCAGCAGGCTCATGCTTCACCATTCTCTGTTGTCTCTTTCCAGTGTAATAAAAGGCTGTGCATTGTTAGGTGGTGGTGGTGGCGAGAAGAACAACTCTTGTTCAGACACCTCTACCCAACCACCTTGCACCGAGACAACATGCATTGTGCTATAGGAGCCATAATGACCAGCCTTCTACTTTCTGCATGTCGACGGACCCTCATCGTTGATCATGTTGGGCTGCAGCTACTCCACTACATAACAGGCTTACCAATCGACTCAAATCATTCCAAATCACCTTCACTGTAAAAAATATGGTTTTGTGTATTTTAAATGAAAAATAAAGGCTTGCTTTTGCTTTATAAGACATCCGTGTTGAAATGTAATGTTGTCATAAGATAAACATACAATATTCACTCTTGAGACAGTTGGAGATTTGTTCATTCAAAACCTAGATGATAGTCACTAGGCATCTTCTACTGCTTCAGGTACACAGAGAAAATAACTCAATATTAGACAAAGTCCAACACAATGGCATTCCTACATGCTCTTAAATTTTTCATCATGATTTTTAACAGACCTAGGATTTGTTCTGATGAACCCATACACCAGTAGCGGTCACTGCCGTTTAAGATGAGGGGGGGATGATATATATTTCTATTACAGCATATTGGATGACTCATTCATATTCCACTCACCCAGTTCAATGTAACAGCGATAGGTTTAGGCTACATGATACTCACATTTTTCCTAAAACATCATGAGGTTGCTACAACCTAGCCTATGAATGAAAGTTTACAACATAGGTACACACAGGTCAAGTGACAAATTTGAGGTGACAGACAGTGACATTCAATACCGCCTTGCACAATACCGACATTCAATACCGCCTGCATCTAGCTGATATAGGGTGTAATCATTAGTCCAACAGTTGCAAACTAGAGTTTCTATTGGATAAATTCAGGTATATTTATCCCTGTTTTGTTCCATTTGCTTCAATTTAAGAAAGGTTTTTCAACAGAATCGTCGGAATGAATACACCCCTGATCACGCGTAAACAGAGTTCACTCTCATAACAGCCACGTTCGCTTGTGGACTTCAATGCACAACACATCAGCTGTATGTGACCAGTCGAAAACACCTTTCCAAGCCAAACCGCTACACACAGCCTACATCGTTGTCACCATATTTGCTAAAGTAATGTCATATTCAGCATAGCTAATAGAACTAACGCGTTAGTAAACCTGCTACAATCATGCAGTAACTTTAGTGTACAGTCAGTAAGCAGTTACACCGGCGGGCCCTGGTGGCAATAAATTAGTAATACCAAAAGCTTACCTTGTTTGGAAGAGTTCCAGTGTTGTGTTGGAAAGTCATAGCCACCTAGCTAACATAGCATTCCTCTGTTTGAGCAGGGTGTTTCAGTAGGCTAAACTAGCTAGCTGCATTTGTTAGCTAAGTAAGTGAAACTGAAAAAAGATGACAATCTCTCTATTTCTCTCTTGCTTCTCCTTCATATTGGAAGAAATTAATTTGTTCAAAACTGTTCAACTATTGTCTTTCTCTCTATTTGAGTCAACTACTCACCACATTTTATACACTGCAGTGCTAGCTAGCTGTAGTTTATGCTTTCAGTACTAGATTAATTATCTGATCCTTTTATTGGGTGGACACCATTTCAGTTCATGCTGCAAGAGCTCTGATAGGCTGGAGGATGTCCTCCGGAAGTTGTCATAATTACTGTGTAAGTCTATGGAAGGGGGTGAGAACCATGAGCCTCCTAGGTTTGTACTGAAGTCAATGTACCCAGAGGAGGACGGAAGCTAGCTGTCCTCCGGCTACACCATAATGCTACCCTACAGAGTGCTGTTGAGGCTACTGTAGACCTTCTTTGCAAAATAGTGTGTTTCAATCAGGTATTTGGTGACGTGATTATATTTAGTATAGTTTTATCTAAACAGGATAACTTTTTTAATGTTTTACAATTTAAATGTTTATGAAATTCACTGAGGAGGATGGTCCTCCCCTTCCTCCTCTGAGGAGCCTCCACTGCCATACACCCATACAAGAATGCCAGTGTGCTGGGAAGTCTTTTTCCAATAATTCATAAACATAGCCATGGTTTCCAATACAGCCAGAAGATGGCAGTAGATGGCAGTAGATGGTTGGAATGTGATTGCTCTCCGGAAGTGTTGGAAGTGGACCTGGAATAAGGGAGGGGTATGGAGTCGGACACACAATGGACTGCTTAGCAGCTGCCTCCAGTGGCAGGCCTCTGAAAGAGATCATCAAACCAAATGAGCATATGTTTGTAAGCTATCCCAGAGATGTTGTACCATACATCAGATATGAGGCTTTTGCTGAGTGCCCTCTAGTGGGCCAGTATATATTACAGGAGGTGTTGAAAATATGCATTTCCATAGACATTTCCATATGCATTTCCATAGACTACAGGAGGTGTTGAAAATATGCATTTCCATAGACATCCGCGCTAATCTCAAAATCCCGGATGCAGTAGTATTAAATTAGCACCCACCAGAAGGCTATAAATCCAAATTGATCCAGTGTACCGGCTCATCCTCAATCACACCCATTACTTTCCATCTCAGCCACAATCCCACTCAGTCAATCAGCCAGTGGCAGTGATAGCCCACTACATAACCAGCATAGTATATTGTCTGTAATGTGATGTTTTGGTAAGCCTGTTTTGGTAAGTTTAATAGTGGAGGGCTGGACTTCCCCGGGCCACAGCTGACTATGTTCTCTGAGTATGTATCAGCATCATCAGTAAGATCAGTGGATGTGCTGCATAGTCTGGAGCTGAATGTCTGGCAGCTTTAGCATCAGCTGTGCTTCCTGACTGACTGTTCTCCCAGGGGACCAGCTATGGAGACAGAGAGAGAAGCACAGTTAAAGGCAAGCATGCATGGCCAATCTCTGGAAAATCAATGGAAGAAGGATTCATTCCCTCTCTTCATCTGGGCACTGTTCCAATATTCATACTGCAGCCTAGCCTACTCCCCCACCACTGAAGGAGTGCCCCCCCTCCCCCCTCCCTCTCTCTTACAAGAATGAATCTCCCCCATTCACTCACAGATTGTTATGCTTTATTAAGGACAGAGACAGTGATACACACTTTACTACACTTTACTGAGAGATAGCGATCAGACAACTATTTATTGTAACAGCATTTCAGAGTAAATGTAAATACTGAGGAGAGTAATACGTGGCTGAATCACTGGGGTCCCTCAGTAGACATACTGTACATTATCATTGTCTCACGTCAGATGACGTCACTCCTACGCGACGCTTGTCCCTCAACCGATCAGAGCAGACGGCCGTCGCGCTATCTGACGTGAGACAATGGTACAGTACATGATCAGTGTGAGACACAGCTGTTCCTGTCCACACCTGCCCTGTAATATTAGTCCCACCCCCATTCCACCCACAATTATAGTGTATAGGGCACGCCAGGGCAGACTACCTCTGCTTTCTGCTGTTAGACTTGGAGATATTCACTGGAAATACTAAATGTTACCCAAATAACTATTGGGAGAACCCTCTTGTAGCAAGTACCCATCTGTCTGTGCCAATATGCTGGCTAGCTCTTGAAGCTGAGCAGGGCGTGGCAAGCGCTTTACAATCCTTTAGATACAGTGAGGGAAAAAAGTATTTAATCCCCTGCTGATTTTGTACGTTTGCCCACTGACAAAGACATGATCAGTCTATAATTTTAATGGTAGGTTTATTTGAACAGTGAGAGACAGAATAACAACAACAAAATCCAAAAAAACGCATGTCAAAAATTTTATAAATTGATTTGCATTTTAATGAGGGAAATAAGTATTTGACCCCCTCTCAATCAGAAAGATTTCTGGCTCCCAGGTGTCTTTTATACAGGTAACGAGCTGCGATTAGGAGCACACTCTTAAAGGGAGTGCTCCTAATCTCAGCTTGTTACCTGTATAAAAGACACCTGTCCACAGAAAAGATCAATCAATCAGATTCCAAACTCTCCACCATGGCCAAGACCAAAGAGCTCTCCAAGGATGTCAGGGACAAGATTGTAGACCTACACAAGGCTGGAATGGGCTACAAGACCATCGCCAAGCAGCTTGGTGAGAAGGTGACAACAGTTGGTGCGATTATTCGCAAATGGAAGAAACACAAAATAACTGTCAATCTCCCTCTGACTGGGGCTCCATGCAAGATCTCACCTTGTGGAGTTGGAATGATCATGAGAACGGTGAGGAATCAGCCCAGAACTACACGGGAGGATCTTGTCAATGATCTCAAGGCAGCTGGGACCATAGTCACCAAGAAAACAATTGGTGAAGGACTGAAATCCTGCAGCGCCGGCAAGGTCCCCCTGCTCAAGAAAGCACATATACAGGCCCGTCTGAAGTTTTCCAATGAACATCTGAATGATTCAGAGGAGAACTGGGTGAAAGTGTTGTGGTCAGACGAGACCAAAATCGAGCTCTTTGGCATCAACTCAACTCGCCGTGTTTGGAGGAGGAGGAATGCTGCCTATGACCCCAAGAACACCATCCCCACCGTCAAACATGGAGGTGGAAACATTGTGCTTTGGGGGTGTTTTTCTGCTAAGGGGACAGGACAACTTCACCGCATCAAAGAGACGATGGACGGGGCCATGTACCGTCAAATCTTGGGTGAGAACCTCCTTCCCTCAGCCAGGGCATTGAAAATGGGTTGTGGATGGGTATTCCAGCATGACAATGACCCAAAACACACGGCCAAGGCAACAAAGCAGTGGCTCAAGAAGAAGCACATTAAGGTCCTGGAGTGGCCTAGCCAGTCTCCAGACCTTAATCCCATAGAAAAGCTGTGGAGGGAGCTGAAGGTTTGAGTTGCCAAACGTCAGCCTTGAAACCTTAATGAATGGGAGAAGATCTGCAAAGAGTGGGACAAAATCCCTCCTGAGATCTGTGCAAACCTGGTGGCCAACTACAAGAAACGTCTGACCTCTGTGATTGCAAACAAGGGTTTTGCCACCAAGTACTACTAAGTCATGTTTTGCAGAGGGATCAAATACTTATTTCCCTCATTAAAATGCAAATCAATTTATAACATTTTTGACATGCGTCTTTCTGGATTTTTTTGTTGTTATTCTGTCTCGCACTATTCAAATAAACCTACCATTAAAATTATAGA